AGAATGTCAGATGCAAAATGAATTTTGAAATCTTGGCATTTACTGCTGCTTTATACTCTATGTGTGCAACTTCAGTCAACAGCAGTGACATTATTGTGTGAGTCCCTCCAACCGAAGGGAATTGGCACTCTATTAATAATCCCTCTTTGCAGAGCTGAATGGGAAATATGTTACTACTCAGCTCTGTGTTTGTCTCCTGAAAAGTGGTGATCAGAATCATGGCTGCTACCAGCCAGGCAGGATTCTTTCCTCGTCAGTTTATTCCTTCCTGTAGCTAATCCCTCATCCAGTGTTATCTGGCTGTTGATGTCCTCCTCATTCCCTGCACAACAGGCGCTCTTTGCTTTGGCTTTTGTCCCGTGTAAACACAGCCCTGCCAAGTCCCTCTGTGATGAGCTCCCTCCTGTGCTCTGCTGCTGCAGCATCAGCATCTCCCCTCCTTGTGGCTCAGCACTTCCACCTCTCCCTGCTCCAGGGCTGTGGGTGCTGCTGGCAGAGCCCAGGGCCCTGGGCAGCCTGACACAGAGGGGCTGGAGATAGTGGAGACAGCCTGGGTGATGTCCTGGAGCCCTGCAGACCTGCAGCTTTCACCTGGGCTGAAGCAGGCTGGATGCTTGTGCCCACCTGCAGCAGGGTCATCTATCAGCTTTGCATCACTGCTGAAATGAATGGCTGGGAAGAGCTGTTGGTGCTTCCAGAGATGGACTTAGCTTTCAGCCTTATTTCCTCTTGCTTATGGTGGTCAGCACAGGGTGTCTTCTCAGCAGGAACATACACATACACATACACATACACATGTGGCCATATTTCCCAAAGATCAGACCTGAATCTGTGCTGCTACATATGAAAGAGTCGACATAAAGTCAATAAATGTGACTTCACACAGCTATAAATCCTTTCATCCTGTCATCTTCCCATTCAGGCAAGAAAGATGTGAGTTATTTGGACTCAGAAGCAGAGGTTCATGGCAAGGCTGGGGCTCTCCTGATCATAGCATAGAGGAAGTAACACAACTACTTCTGGAAGTAGCTGTGTTAGTGGTAGGCTTCATAAGAGCAACATAAATGTCTCCTAAATGACCTGCTTCCTGCTGGAGGCTGCTCACTGTACCCCAGCAAGCTGCTCATGTGGAACCTCTTCAATTTCTGCTGTGTAAAGTCAAACCAAACCTTTCCTATTTGACTGAAGAGGAACAGAGTGCAACACACTAAAGCAGCAGATCCATCAGTCTTTGAGAGGTGAGAAAAGAGCAGCTGGGAGAGCAGCCTCAGCTGGTGGCTGTCAGACAAGGATGTTTGGCTACAATCTAATTGTAATGGACGTGGGTGAGTCCACACATAGATTGATAAAAATTAAGAAAGTCTACCTGACTCTTTTAAAGCTAACTGGAGTCAGTAGAAAACAATTCTTTTCACTGAATTCTCTGATACTGAGTTAAAGCTCTAGATTACACTATTAAATAATTTGGATGGCAAAAAAAAAATGGAGAAATTTACAAATGAAGGATTGGAGAACTAAAAGGGGTTTGCAATGATGCATTTGGTTCCTGGCTCTTCACAGATACACTGCTTGGCATTGCTCACATTTACTGGTCTTTTTGGTCGTCCCTTCCTAGCATGGACAGATATGACAGTGGGAATAATTTTTCTCTCTCCCATTTTTATCAAGGTCAACTCTCTCTTCTTGCAGTGTCTCTACAGCACTGTGCACCTGGGAGGTCTTAGCTGGGGTCCCTGACCTGCTTTACCAGACATGAAAAAACAACAACAAAAATAAAGGTCAAAAACAAAGGTCAAAGAAGGTCTGTACTTCTTTAGTGGAACATCAGAAACAAGTGTAAGGCTTGGTGCATGGCAGCTGTTCCTACAGTTCCTCTGAAGGCTGATCTCTTCTGCTCTGTATTCAACTGCATGAATAGCACATTCCTCTTTGCCTTCCTACCTAAAGAGTGACAGCTGTGTAGCATACTATTCTTGTCTGCAGAATGGATTATTTTCCACAATAGGCTGAGAAAACATCAGAATAAGGGAAACAAAGTTACTTTTAAAAGCAAATTATCAGTCAGTGATATGTTCCCCTATTTTTTAATGAATAATACATACATGATTATAGTGACCATAATAATTAATGTTTTTTGACATAGTATAAAATGCTGAAGAATGTCTAGTGATACCACTTTATCTATGCATTTGAAGTATAATTCCAAAATATCGTTAAATACAGCTTCATCTAACTGTGTATTTCAAAATTCAGGAGATGTTTTATTTCTAGGCTTTAAATCTTTTAATTCAGCTGAAAAGTGACTTTAGTAAGTGACTTGATAAATAATTTAAAAAATAGTACTCTTACACTGTAATCATTCCAGCAGAAGTGAAAGAGTAGCTGAAGTGTCAGAGGTTATGACTTGCAGCAAAGTTATTATTGTCTTGGTGAAGTCTATGTCACCTGGAAAAGCAAAGTCTCCTGGCAACATTTTGTGTCTTTCAAATTAGTTAAAAGAATTATATAGGCAGTAAAATGTTTATTGATCTTTTTGACAGTCCTGCTCTACAATAATTTTGCTCATTTACTGTATGTGTGAATACCTTGAGTGTGTCTGAGTCCTCCCCACATCTGGGACTGGGAAAAGTCACCACGTTTGGCTGTTCTTGGCCTTGCAGGTCAGTGTGGCTGAACATTGTCTCCTTGAGCCAACAGAGGCTTTAGAGGATGGTTATACTCAGAGAAATGCCAAAAAATGTTGCTACTTTTGCTGTCCTTGTATGGTATCAAGTTCAGATTTGCTTTGTCTGCAGGTAACACGACAGTGTTTCCAATTGTCAGCTTTGCATATGTGATAAAGACCCAAAAGCATAGTCGAGTGTTTTCTTGGCTTTGACATCAATAATTGCAAAGATGCTGATGCGTAGCTGAGGTGAGCAGTGTGCCACTGAGCAGGATCTGGCTTTTCTCATCTGCTCTGGCTTGAGGGCAGGGTGCTGGGGGGATGTTGATTTCACTGGTGAGGGTCTCCTGAAGACGATGCTGTCTGGTGTTTAGGTTTTAAGCTTCTCACTGCTGTGCTGCTCAGTGTTTGCAGCCTCTCAATAGTCATGTGCAAGAGTGACAATGGCACACCCAGCGACACAGCATCACTCAGGCTAAGCAGGGGCACTGTAAAATCCTAAAGTGCACTTACAGAAATCTGTCCCAGGATTTTTCTGCATCTCAGTTGCCTGACAAAACTATGTCCTGTGAATATGAGCAAAACACAGTAGATTAGTCTGCATGGAGCTATTCTAAGATATTTAAAAGTGAATAAAAAGCAGCACAGGGAAACTAAAAATAACACTGCCGTTCTGTGGAAAGCATGGAAGTGCCATGACAGAAGCAGAGTTAGGGAGAAAAAACTTAGCCTGGTCCAGTTCAAGGCAGTCTGGTTAAACTGATGCTAATGATGGTGTGAATATGCGCAGTGGGTTTGGAAGCGGTTTGTCCGTTCAGCGCAGATGCTGTAACCCCTGGGGCGAGCTGTCCCTCTGTCCGCAGGGAAACCGCTCCGAGTTGTGCGGGCAGCCCGAGGCCAGGACAGCACCGCCCGGGCCAGGGCCGAAGGGCCCGGGGTGATGCTCCCGAAGTGTCAGCGTTCTCCTGAGACCCTCGGGGAGCCGCGGCACTGGCCCCGGTGTGCGCTGGCCCCGGCGTGGGGCTGTTTGGTGCCGCCCGTTCCGATCCTCGCCAGATCCCCCGGTAAGGCACCGACCCCTCCGCAGCCCTTCACTGCCACTCCGTCCATCCATCCATCCATCCATCCATCCATCCATCATCCATCCATCCATCCATCATCCATCCATCCATCCATCATCCATCCATCCATCCATCCATCCATCCAT